TCTCTACTTTTCAGGCCAAGGACGAAAACTACGAAAAGGCTTGGCAGAAACTCACCAGGAAGTACGAGGACCCTAGACTCGTCGCTCAGTCGCTGTTCAACAGAATCCTGACGCTGCCGAAAATCACCCAAGCAACAGAAGAGAACCTCAGCGCCAACGGAGCAGCCGCATTGGAGACCCTCGATCAACTACAACGGAAAACAGCGCTGAACAGCTGATAGCCCATTTACTGAGGAGATCTCTTGATGCAGAGACACTCAAGCAGTGGGAACTAAAGCTGGGAGACTCAAAGGATTTCCCGAGCCTTAAGGAGTTCGTGGCGTTCATCGAGGCCTGCGGCAGAGGGATCAACGCAGGTGCCAAGCTGCTATCATCAAAGGAAATCAACGCAGCCACGAAGAAGTCAGCTCCAATAAAGAAAAGGAGCACCTATACAGCAGCAACTCACCAGCAGGAACTTAAGGAGCCAGAAAGACAACTCCCTAGGAACTGCTTGCCACACACGAAGGCCAAGTGCACGTCGGACAAGAAGTGCCACAAATGTAGCAGATATCACCACACTCTCATCCATGGAGGGAGTTCATGGACGATGAGCCCGCCTCCAGCCGGACGCACTCCAGCTNGCGAGCAAGTCACACAAGAAGAGGAACTGCCAAGAAAAAATGAGACAGTTACAACGAAGCCAATCACCACTCCTGAGGAAACCAAGAGTCCAAGTGGAGCGTCAAGATCAAAGGAGCCCGCTCAACGAAAATCAACGCCTGCAACTTCAAGAACAGCACTCACCATGCAACAGGAAGGTCAATTAAGACTATTANACCCGTCTAGACTGCCGGAACATCCAGGCAGCAAGAGGATCAAGGGAACAGTGAGTGAATGAATTCAATCGCAATAGCACACTCACCATCTCATTGATCATTCCTCAACATTAGAATCCAGTACATCACCACCAGTAGCAGTGAACTTCAACAACAAAATGATCAATGAGAAAGCAGAGAACATCAACCACGAAACTCACCAAGGAGAAGCAGATCAACAGTCAGTGCTGTTGGCAACAGCACGAGTAAAAGTAATATCACCGAGAGGATTCACGACAAAAGCCAGAGCACTCATCGACCAGGGTTCAGAGGTATCGTTTATCTCCGAACAATTAGTTAATCAACTGCATTTACAGAGAAGAGCATCAACAGTGGAGCTAGTGGGAATTGGTGGAATTAATTCAGGATACACCAGAGGAATATTTTCAGTCACTCTACAATCGAACAGTGGAACTCATCAACTGCAACTCAATGCCCACATTCTAAAGAAGCTCACCGCAATAATTCCGTCATTTTCATGCTCATCAGCGAGGATCGGCTCACTTCAGAATCTTCAGCTAGCCGATCCCCATTATCTAAGGCCTGGACCAATTGACATCATACTAGGGGCTGACAACTATGGGCGGATCATCATGGATGAAGTTGTCAAGTCAGACCAATCGAGAGTAGTTGGCCAACGCACAGTATTCGGTTGGATACTATCCGGTCCAATCGAATGCACAAATTGTTCAATAAAGGTATCTCTATCAGCTGTACGAGAATCTTCGAATGAACAACTTCTAGAGCTTTTCCAGAAATTTTGGGTCCAGGAAGAACTGCCAAACGAGAGATCATCAACATCAGAGCTTTCACCAGATGAGTACGAGTGCGAAATGAACTTTAGAGCAACTCATAGCAGAGACAACACCGGGCGATACATCGTGAGACTGCCCCTCAAAACTTCAGCAGCAGCGCTCGGAGAATCGAAATTCAAAGCAGCACGTCAACTCAAATCGATCGTGAGTCGACTCAACACAGATCAAGCATACTCCCAGTTGTACAGAGAGTTCATCAACGAGTACGCAGCACTAGGGCACATGAGAATAGCACCAGAGACTCCAGAACCCGTGCCAGCTTACTATCTACAACATCACGGGGTACTGAGAGAGGAAGCCATCACAACGAAGCTGAGAGTCGTATTCAATGGCTCCAGCCCCAGTTCATCAGGTATGTCAATTAACGATATACTGTATTCTGGTGAAAAATTACAGAACGATGCAATGGTTATCCTGACTTGGATGAGAAGGCACAGGCTCGTGTTTGGCACGGATATTGTAAAGATGTTCCGCCAAATACGAGTTCACCAAGATGACTGGGATCTTCAGAGAATACTGTGGATCGACGAGAATCAACAACCAGTCACCTACCAGTTAACGACAGTCACCTATGGACTAAATTGTTCTCCATGGTTGTCATTAGGTGTTCTTCAACAACTAGCAGAAGATGAAGGGCACCCCTTCCCAGCAGCAGTAGAGACACTCACCAAAGGTCGTTACGTTGACGACATTTACGGCGGTGCAGAGACAGAAGATCGTCTCAAGGAGATCGCGACGCAACTACAAGGGCTTTGCCATGCAGGAGGCTTCTCTTTACAGAAGTGGAGCAGCAATTGTCCAGAGGCTCTGCATGAGTTAGGCAGATCAACTGAAGAAGAAATTATCCAGTTCGAGGAGTCAGTCACCAAGGTACTTGGATTGTGTTGGCATCAATCCACCGACACATTCCGGTACAAATCAAAGGATTTTAATACGACGACAATCACCAAGAGAGTAGTCTCTTCAGAAATAGCCCAGATTTTTGATCCACTGGGAGTTATCGCACCAGTTGTCGTCCAGGGAAAGATTGTCCTACAAGATCTTTGGAGATTGAAACTAAAATGGGATGATCCTCTTCCAGATGAGTATGTTCAACGCTGGAAGACATTCCGAGAGAATCTCAACGACCTAGACAGAGTAACTGTACCTAGATGGCTGAGAATTTCAACAGAGACACTCAACATCCAAATTCATGGATTTGCAGACGCTTCAACGGTAGCCATGAGTGCAGTGGTGTATATTCGCACCAAAACCATCAACGACTCGACATCAACAGTACTGGTATGCGCGAAGACTAAGGTAGCACCACTCAAGCGCATGACCATCCCTCGACTAGAGCTCACAGCAGCTCTTCTACTGACTCAGCTAGTGGCATCAACGAAGAAAATGCTCCAACTCGACCAGGTAGACGCCTATCTCTGGTCTGATTCTTCAGTAGCACTAGCTTGGATCAGGAGTCACGCATCAAGATGGAAGAACTTCGTCCACAACAGGGTCGTCAAGATCCAGGAAACTCTCCCGAATGCTACCTGGAGACGTGTCAGTGGAAAGGAGAATCCAGCTGATTGTGCCTCCAGAGGCATATCACCGAGCCAGCTAGAAGATCATCAACTGTGGTGGTCAGGACCTGAGTGGATCAATCAGGATCCTGAAGAATGGCCACAATCATCGATCGACGCCCCAGGCATGAACATCCCAGAAGTGGCCAGAGAAGCAAAACCAGCACCAGCACATCCAGTTGCAATTAAAATCAACGAAATTGCAGAGCTACTCAACAGATATCAGACGATGGCTAAATTGCTAGCCGTAACAGCTACGGTCAACAGAGCTATCGACAGATTCAGGAGGCAGCCAACGCCCCCGGGACCTGTCTTGACAACAAGAGAACTCAACGACGCAAGGTTATTTTGGGTAAAGATAACCCAACATCAATACTTTGGGCCANGACAGATTCAGGAGGCAGCCAATGCCCCCGGAACCTGTCTTGACAACAAGAGAACTCAACGATGCGAGGTTATTTTGGGTAAAGATAACCCAACATCAATACTTTGAGCCAGCCATTCGAGTACTCCAGAGAAATCACCACCTATCGAGAAATTATCAACTAGCCAAGCTGACACCCACACTAGACAACGAAAGGATCATGAGACTTGGGGGACGCCTCAAGAACTCGCAGTTAAATCCAGACGAAATTCACCCATAATCTTGCCTCGCCAGTCACGCCTCACCACACTAGTTATCGAAGAAGCTCACCGCAAAACACTACACGGAGGAACTCAACTCACCTTGGCCTACACACGTCAAAGGTACTGGATAATTGGCGGCAGAGGCACAGTTAGAGCATATATTCAACGCTGTGCCATCTGCACCAGACACCGAGGAAGACAGGCCCAGCGACAGATGGGTCAACTACCAGCAACGAGAATCTCACCAGCAAGAGCATTTCTCCACAGAGGGGTGGACTATGCAGGACCATTCGCCATCCTCAAATGGAGACCAACGAATGCACAACCAAGGTCAGTGCACATTGCAGTTTTTGTGTACTTCACCACATCAGCAGTTCACCTAAAGCTAGTCACCAGACAGAAAACGGACGCCTTCATCGGAGCCTACAAGAGATTCACCGGAAGCTGGGGTATTCCAGCTGTCATGTACAGTGACAATGCCAATACCTTCGTGGGCGCAGCAGAGGTCCTAGAGAAAATCTATCACCGAGCATTCAGAGAAAATCAGCAGGTTCAGGCTGCTCTCGCCACCAATGGGACTCAATGGAGCTTTTCACCACCACGAGCACCCCACTTTGGTGGCAAGTGGGAAGCAGCCGTGAAATCAACAAAATATCACCCTAGAAGAGTCTTGGGGACAACAACACTCACATTTAAGGAACTCAACAGTGTCGTGATCCAGATAGAGGCCTGCCTAAATTCCAGGCCAATCTGTCCTATGTCAGATGACCCAGACGATGTCCAAGCACTCACCCCAGGACACTTCCTGATAGGTGAGCCTCTTCAACTGATTCCAGAGCCATCAATCATCGACAAGAACCCCAGCAAACTGCAGAGATGGAACCTGGTAACGAAGCTAACTCAACAATTCTGGTCCAGGTGGGCCAAAGAGTGTCTTCAACGATATCAGGCAATCTATAAGTGGACGCATCGAGAAGAGAACATCAAGGTTGGTGACATGGTGCTGATGATCGATGAAAATTATCCACCAGCACAATGGCCAATCGGACGAGTCATTGCGACACGCCCAGGAGCAGATGAACTAACGAGAGTCGCAACTATAAGAACCGCAAAAGCAGAAGTACCAAGGCAGGCAGATGGATCACCAATCATAGAAAACATGAGAACAATCTACACAGAGCTTGACAGACCAATCACCAAGCTTTGCCTACTGCCATCAGATCCACCACCTCCAGAGCAACCTCCAGATGATGATGCAGAGGAAGCTCAACAGGACTAGAATCACCATTAATTCATCATCCCTGATGATGAATTGCCCCCAGGGTGTTCGAAATACAGCCTAAATCTCCATATTAGTCACGATCGACTAACTCGGCCATCTCCGAAAATCTCCGTGAAGTTTCGGGTCAATGGACACAGGTCAGCGCGGCACCCAGAAGAGTCAGTAGTCAGTAGTGTTAAAGTATCGTTACGATAATGAGCTAGCGTATTCAGTCAATCAGTATTCTAAATTTAATATCTTTGTTCAGTACATCAACTTGTTGATTAAGTTCAGTATAATTTCAATGACTCAACGAGATAAAGGTGAAAAGACAATTATCAGTGAAGTTATACATTCAACAGTTAATATACCAAAGAGTGTAAAATTACTTGACAAGAGGATGAGAGAAGAAATGCTAATTAGTATAAAGAATAGGTGAAGGAGGCTAATGCCAGGGTCAAGACGCTGGGCGTTGAAGAGACAGAGGAGGAACTTATTGGGCGCAGAGTACAAACAGAAAAGGCTCAGAGGGAGATGGATGAGATGGTCTCCAGTGTGATTATTCATAACAGCCTGCTGTGTTCCTCTTGAAAATCAGAAATATTTCCAAAGTGTGAGGATTGACGAGGAAAGCAGGAGTGTGCCACGTGGTTATCCCGATCAATCAAACTCAGAGTTGAATATGGGTTATGTCTGGGTTGATAGAAATTCCTCAGGTTTTTTCTCTTTTTTCTTTACTTTTTTTACGTCAACCCAGAGTCAACCCAGACTTCGGTCTGGGTTCAATCTATCAAGGTAACGCCACGCATGAAGATTTGTTAAAAAAAACCTAGCCAATTTGATTGGGAATGCTAATGGATTTCTATTAATCCTTCATTGGAAACTCAGGGAGTTTTTGGGAAAGATGAGATTAATGTGAAGGATTTGCCAAAGTGTGTTAAGACTAGGATGAATCAAGTTGACAGATGGAGTTATTGAGGATGTAAAGGGTTGAGAGAGAAAAAGCACAATCACTAATAGGAGGAAATAAGCATATTCGTTTTGAATACTCGCCTACAAACGATATGTAAGTTTTAATAGAGTATTGTGTTTCTTGTCAATGACCATTATCACAGTTGCGATCTCTCTCACTATTCGTAGAATGCCTGCTTCTGTTGACGTTGCTATTGTCTGTGAATATGCACAATTTAACAATAATCATTATCTCTATATTCTTCGGCCTCATTCACTCAATCATCCGCTGTTACCTATCTACGGACAAAGTTTTCAAAGTTTTCAATGTTTGTAACGAACATGTGGGGATGTTCGTTAGGAACACTAAAAACGATCTGGAAACAGCGAGACTCCTACAGCGTTGAATTAAAATCCGTGAGTAATAATCCCAGAGCGAGAGAGTGAGAGTCCCTTATCCACTTCCGAGTGGCTTATTTCCGGTTAGAGTTATCGGTTCCGTTTATTAGTAAAGATTAGTAATTACGCGTCTTTGAGGGTCCAGAAAAATTATCGTGAAGAAGGGCCAAAATTATAGTCATCCGGTTCTTTTTATGGGGTTCACCCTATTGTTAATCTTGCGGGTAATCGAATAGGTCCGGCTGAAATGCCGGCGCTCCAATTTTGTTGGATTTTCAGGGGTTAATTGGTTACGTTTTTGTTTTGGGTGGAAGGTCGTTCGGAGCGAGTGCAACCATCGTCTCCAACAAATCGCCAGGTTGCCTTTGGGTTTTCGATGAGAGAAACAAGTTGAGCAGGAATTAGTAGTGGAGTAATAACAAGTGCCGGTAACTTGTCTTTTAACCCCGAAAATCCAGGAGATCCGATCCGTGGGAAGCGCCAAAGACCCTTAGTAATTATCCGAACGACAATCAGTTCGTTCAGAACTCGTTTTGTGTTGGATGATTAGAGAAGAGTTAGGTGAGATTTGAATAATCGCGCCAGGTCGTGAGAGTCGCGATTAATTGTTAGATTCGCACCTTCGAGGGGCGTATCCGCATCAATCAAAATTCGGATGATTGAGCGGTGAATTCCGCGCTCTGAGGTGTCTCGAGACGCTCGTGAGTTCGGCAGTTCGGCGTTGGCCCTTGACCTCACCGGAACTAGTGCCAGTACAGTGCCTATCCTAGGATTATAGTGCTCACATTTGGATTATTGTATCTACACGATGGCGAAGAACACCCCAAAGAGGGGTAAGAAACCCAAAGTGAGTTTTTAGTTCGGTTTATTTATTTTTCCGAATTCATTTCGGCTTTTAGTTATTCGACTACGGGGTCTTCAGCCCCGTACGTCGCATTTTAATCCATTAAAACGGTGATTGTGACGCATAATCCAAATTGTGAGGCGCCGATCCCCCCCTTTTTTCACTCATGATTGGGTGGTTTTCGTGATTTTTTGGTGGGTTATTCGAGGGGATTTCTCCCCTTTTTGGGGTTATTTCCGGCTCAAACCCGGCTCCGATCNGATTATTGTATCTACACGATGGCGAAGAACACCCCAAAGAGGGGTAAGAAACCCAAAGTGAGTTTTTAGTTCGGTTTATTTATTTTTCCGAATTCATTTCGGCTTTTAGTTATTCGACTACGGGGTCTTCAGCCCCGTACGTCGCATTTTAATCCATTAAAACGGTGATTGTGACGCATAATCCAAATTGTGAGGCGCCGATCCCCCCCTTTTTTCACTCATGATTGGGTGGTTTTCGTGATTTTTTGGTGGGTTATTCGAGGGGATTTCTCCCCTTTTTGGGGTTATTTCCGGCTCCAACCCGGCTCCGATCGCAGTGTGCATCGGCTTATTACGTTGGTTAAAGATCTTTTATGCGAATCTATCGGAGAAAAACCTCTTCGGAGGGGATAATTAATCACGTTGAATTGTTAGAGCGCGTCCATTCCCGTTACACGTGGGTTTTCGCGTAAGAAACTCCACTCGTGTTCAAATTGAGTTGGTTCGCGTAGATAGTTGATTAAAATTATGGTTTGTGGATCAATGTGTTCGGGCGGCTTCCCTGAGCAATTCATCTCAGGGTTTCCAAAAATTCGCTCTGCCGATTTCCGGATATTCCATTTTTGGTTTTTATGGATTTCCAGCCCACTCTCGCTGGCGTGTACGCCGTGTTTCTCGAGGGGGAATTCCCCCCGACTCTCGACTCCCCTCAGAAATCCATCCACGTTTATACGTGGCTATTCTCGCTTCACGCGAGCATTTTAGCGTTTAGAATTCCGCTCGGGGATTAACTAACCTGGGGCGGCTAATTATTTAGGAAAAATTATTTTTTGGGTATTGTTGTCTTCGGTAGACTCTCCCGGACATTTTGTCTCAGGGTTCGTAATTTTTGACTCTGCCATTTTCGAGTTATGGCAAGTTGAGTTTTGCGGAATTTCAGCCGTTTTGGCTGGTATGAAAAATCGACGGATGAATACGGTCTCCTCTCTCTCGCTCTCATTGTCGCTCGCATACCTTTCCCCCCAATTCTCGGAATTCTCGAGTATTTAGGGANCTATTCAGGGAAAATTATTTGTTGGGTATTGTTGTCTTCGGTAGACTTTCCCGGACATTTAGTCTCAGGGTTCGTAATTTTTGACTCTGCCATTTTCGAGTTATGATAAGTTAAGTTTTGCGGAATTTCAGCCGTTTTGGCTGGTATGAAAAATCGACGGATGAATACGGTCTCCTCTCTCTCGCTCTCATTGTCGCTCGCATACCTTTCCCCCCAATTCTCGGAATTCTCGAGTATTTAGGGATCAGCGTGTATTTCAACTCTCCCCA